TCGCGGTGAAGTGTGGTGGCAGATCAAGGCGAGGCGACAGCAAGATGGGGGAGGCAGACGGTGGTTCAGATCTGGCGTGGTCCGAGCAAAAACGACGGTTCGAAACCGAAAGAAAAACGGTAGTTCGAGATCTTACGAGTTGACTCAGTGACTCGGTGATTCGACGACTCAGTAATAAGGCTAGCTTTTCGGAGCGACACTGACTCAGATCGTTGCTCTTTGGTGCAGCGAAGAGGTAAATTGAAAATCAAAAATGCTTTCCGACTCTATGGACTCGCAGCATGCCCGTTCGCGCGATAAGGACTGCAAGGAGACTGTTCGCACGATAAGGACAACAGGGAGACCGTTCGCGCGATAAGGACAACAAGAAGACTATTTCAGACTTAGATAATTCTGGAGAGATTGTCAACAATACTTTGTTTCTTGGAAGGAGAATGGTTCTTTCTCCTGAGTCTAACACTGGTAACTTGACGAGACCGGCCTACCCTAATGCTCTAGACGCGCTCGATGAGGTTAGCGATGAGATTGCAGTTTTTCCTGCTAGGTGGCATTCGTTGATTGCAAGGTCTTCGCGACGAGGATTCCACGCAGTAAGAAGGTCCCTGCTAGCGATGTCTCGTGATGACTCAGTCCGGCGAGGTCGATGGACTTACATCGCGACAAGGAGAAGACGACGGAATTGCACGGTAGACGTGACGAGGTGAGATTCGATCAGCGATGTGGAAGCCAACAGCGAGGCGAGATAGGGGTTTGATTTAGCGAAGCAGAGAAGCTTGGATCGCGCGGTGGAGTGGACGTCGGCGTCGCGAGGCGAACCGTGATGAGATCAGCCCGAGAGAAGCCTGCGTTGCGAGGTGGAGACAATGACGACATCATGAGGTGAATTACGATAAGGTCCCATGAACATCGACATTGACGAGGTGATTGATCGATGACACAAAGTCGATGAGGTGATTGATGGACGATGTGATTGACCGCCGAGATGAAGCAGACGACATGAAGTTGACAAGGTGATCGACGAAGGTGATCGGGTTCATTGTGGAGTGGAGAGATTCGGCGATAAGTCGAATCTGAAGCCATTTGGCGACGAGGTGATGATGCAACGATGCAAGGTTAATTTGTGGATCCAACGCCGAGGTCGACTCATGTTGACAACGAAGTGGTCTTGTTTACTTGAAGCAATTGTGGACTTGTGTTGACTAGACACTAAGGTGGAATCGTGTTGACGTCGACAAGGTGACCTTATGTTGACGACGAGTTCGAAGACGATGAATTCATCTTTTCAGTCAGCGAATTCGAGCGAAGTGGATTTGATGGTGGGAAAACTGGGGCGAAGTCATCGACTTGAAGAATTGGAGTAGATTTTGGGAAGTTAGAGCTTGGTGAAATTTCAAAGTAAAGAAGTTGTTCCTGGCAAGGTGAAGCTTTGGAAATGGTCGAACTAGGTCGAGGATCGAGGAGAAGATCGATCGCGCTAAAGAGAACATCAGAATGATCAATGGCCAACCGAGAGTTCGTAAAGTCTGGAGTAACATTGAGTTTGTAAGGTTGCTTTGGTGTGATAAGGCGCCTGATCTTTGTGAAGAACTCGTTGACCTTGAGAAGCAGGAGGCAGACCTATGACTTCCAGATGAGGTGTTTGCTAAGCATGTGCGCGAGCTTAAAGGGATCCTTAGTGATTCGCCTGTTAGCACGACTGATGATCGAGTTGAGGAATTAAACGCTGATGTCGTTGAAGAGAAGGCTTACTCGGATTCGAGTTCTTCTGATTAGTCAAGAGATGATGATTTGTCAAAATCTGTGCCAACAATTCCTTCTGAGCAGGCCATCGAGATTGTTGACGACGTTGAAGAGACCGTGCCTTAGTTAT